GTGTGTGTGTGTGTGTGTGTGTGTGTGCGCGCCCATATGCATGCATGTGTGTGTATTAGTGGTGTCACATAAATAAAATTAGCCCCCCCACACCCCCGCACACATTGTTAGCATGGCCACACTGTACTGTACACTGCCGTCATGACACCCTGAGATCATATCAGGCAGTTGAGTGTGATGTTGGGTTTTGTTTAAAAAAATCCACATGAACTGTCCACATTACATAGCAGAAAACTCAGCATATGACAATTAATCCACTAAGGGATTACATAAATACCTGCGCTAGGTACCACTTCTTATGGAATTGTGCAGACAAGCTGAATGCTCACTGATTTCGCCTGAAAGTAGTTCATGCACAGGTCAAACGAACCAAAAATGGCCATATCCTTTGTCTGCTCACTGACAGAGTGTTAGGTGTTCTTTTTTTTTTGTTGCCAGGATAACAGCAAATATCACATTTCTCATAATTTTTCATAATACGACAACTACCAGTATTTGCTACATAGTCATTAGTAGTTGTTGGCATTTATATGAAAAAGCTGATTGGTGGAGGTTTTTTTGTTTAACATGTTTAAAATAAAACTTCACAATTAAAATTATGTCCAAACATGAATGATTTTCCATTTATAGAACAGTAATCATTTATTCAACAAAAAAATTGAATTGTGAGAATGCATATGCCAAATATAAAATTGTATAAAAAAAAAAATCACAATTTTTTTACTGTACGAGAGTAAAGTGTCATTGCACATCCACAACAGTAGGTGGCATAAAACAGAACATTTGTGACATCTGGTGTGGCACACGCACTTTAGCCTCTAATAGTGAGTCACATTGTTGGTATGCTATCGAACAGTACAACAGGTATCAACTGAACAGCTGCTAATAATGCTTTGTTATCATTTACCAGACTGGAAGACAAACACTGTGCACTGATAACAAGATTTGTCACCTAAATTAAGTTGGCGTTAAACCGATGAAGACCAGACTATGACCAAACATATGCCAACAACAAGCGGTCAATCACTTATCAAAAACTGACACTAATAGCAATTAGCTATATGAAGATGAAGGGTTTTTTTCTTAGAACATAAACAGCAACAGATTAGACTTCTGGCTGAAACAGCAAAACATACCAGAAACGTGCGCTTGCCACATTGTTCATTGACCCTAACCCTAACGCGCCCAGTGCAGTCCAAGGAGTCACATTTCTGCACACAACAGAGTTCAACATCACTTGCCTTTGCATACATACTGTAAATGTACCTATAATTATGATTTTGCTCAAATGGACTGGTTATATATATTGGAAACATTTAACCCAGGGTCCAATAATAATGAGGGGGGGCTCAGAGGTGCCTGTGTTGAGCACATCTGCCCATCGGTGTGAAGTAGCAAACAGGTCTCTCACTAAAAGTCCACTGGCGATGAGGATAAGTGGCAGAAAATGGATGGATGGGTACCTTATTTCTAACAGCACAAACTCTTCGATATCTTTTCCAACCATAATATTCCACGATTGGACCATGGACGACCATCCAATTTTGTGAAACATTAGTTGCACACTCAACATTTTCTCCACGATTTCAGATTGATGAACCACCTAATCTCTCCTCCCACACTTAACATGTTGGGTGGACAACATACTTTGGAAGGCAGCTTTGGAGAATCAGCAGGGGGGCCAGGGGCTCATCCTCTTATTGTCCCGAGCTAAGACTGTGACCTCTGATCTGGATGCACAAACACACATTTGCAAAAGGCCAACATGGGCAGCCGCGCAGACATTACTATGTGCCTGAATCTTTATCCACCCGTGTGCATAGCTGACAGCAAAAATCTACCTACCCTAACTGTCTAAACGAGGGCTTAGTATCCGGACCACCTGCCTGTCTTTAAAACGATCGTTTTCGGGGAAATCTCGCCACGGAAAGCAACAGCTGAGAATGATGTGCTGTGAATCATGATTTGTGCCACCATGAGCCAAAGAAAGAGGGCATAGCTAATGCATAAAAAAGTGGGGAAAGAGAGTGACAGAGACAGCTGGCAGTCCATGCGAAAACCCCTTCGGGACGTTGTGGTTCAGTGCCAGGGGAGGTGATTCAACACAATGATTTGTTTCAAATGAAGTTTTAGAAAAGAAAAAAAAAGTTTAGCCGACTGCAAAATTCCCTCAGAAAATGTGTCTCATGATCCAGATATTGATTACAGCACCATTGGGAAACGTGGTTAAGATTTGAAGACAACTTTTCACCTCTGAGCCTCATCTTACATTTCCATCATGTGGAGATGATATGGTGTGAACATCAGTTTTCACTTCAAGATACTTCCTTGATACCAATTATGACTTTACCATGAGACATGGCTCTGGTGGGATCTTTAGGGCATCTAAGACTATTTAGGCGAATAGGTGAGGATAGCTTCCACAGAAAAAGAACTGGACATCCACCACCTTCAACTGAAATAACTGAACAAGTTTGAAAAACATCCCAGAGGAGCCTCCGAATAGCAATTAGAAGAGCCAGTTGAGAG